TATGTTTAATAGGAATGTATATGTATAGCCTATATGAGATTGTGTGCCGTCTTGGGGAGGGGGATGGGGAGGGGGATGGGGAGGGGGATGGGGAGGGAGGGGGAGAAAAATTTTAAACTCAAAACCATATGGAAGTGATTGTTGATAAATCAAAATAAATTGATTAAAAAATAAAATTTAAAAAAAATAAAAAGACCAATTAGGAGCCTAAAAAAAATAAAAGACTAGTTGGGGAAAGAAAAAGAATTCTACAACACACACACCATTGTCTGTATCAACATCATTCTGTAATAATATCATTAAGTCATTATTTGCTATAAGCTCTTTGTTTCTACAATGGAAAGGGCAGGGAGGGGAGGGGAAAGCTAAGGAAAAATGCTTATTACTTGAAAAAAAAGGTTTTTGAAGTTTTAAATAAAAGAAGATCAGTAAAAGGATAAAACTCTAAAATCACTGTTTAGCTCAATACCCTGAGACCAGCCCAGTTCAGCCACTGTTCTAGTTTCACTGCCCCCTGTCCCACTTAACAGTGTCCCATCTGGTGACTTCTCCTTCACTACCCTTGACCCAGAGGAACTGCCACTTCAGACCACGGCTATCTGCACCTAACTCCTGAGCACATTGCCTTGTCTTCTCAGTCTCCAAATCTGTTTCAATAAAATTAACTGTGTCCAGTAACATTGTTTTATTTGATCCTGTATTTTCAGGAACCAATTCCTAATTCAGGAAAGCCTGTATGCAGTTTTTTTTTTTAAAAAGGCATTTTTGTCCTCTGAATTTAGTTCTTTCTCACAATCTTGGTAAACATCTAATCATATGGGTGTTTGGAAGTACACTGGGTTACAAGTCCCATCTCTGCTACTCATTCCCTATGTGGTCTTAAGAAAGTAAGTTCTCAGCACCGGCCCTGGAGTCAGGAGGACCTGAGTTCAAATCCGGCCTCAGATACATGATACTTACTAGCTGCGTGACCCTGGTCAAGTCAATTAACCCCAACTGCCTTTTTGCCTCGCAATAAATAAATAAATACAAAAATAAATAAATAAATAAATAAATAAATAAAATAAAGTAAGTTCTCCCTTCCTAGAAGCTTTCAACCAAAGACTGAATGTCTGTTTCTTGGGTATGGTATAGGGAGTCTTCTTGCTCAAGTAAGACTAGTGGTCTTTCAGATCTGTCTTGATTCTGTGACTTTGTGATTGTCCAGGTTTATTTCCCCATCTGTAAAATTATACGATTAGAGCAGATGATCTCTGAACTCTCTTCCAGCTATAAATTCTGTGTGCACTCCTTCAAGTGTAAGAATATAATAAAACACCCAGCATAGTTTATTCTTATCACTGTGACAATTCACACTGATCCTTCAGATTTGAATGATTTTAAGCAGGCATGAGAATGCTCTAGAGATTCAGCACAACTCAGCTACTGTGACTCTTGTTCTTTTAAAAAGATCTGGAAAGATGCAAGCAATCTGTAAATTGTACTCTGTACTAGCTAGTATTTATATGGTATCTACTGTATGCCAGGCACTGCGCTAAGTGGTTTACAAATATTATCACATCTGATCTTCACAACAACCCTAGGAGGTAGGTGATATTATTATCTCATTTTATAGCTGAGGAAATTGAAAAAAAAATCATGTTTAATTTATCTTTGCAATCCTTCTTTCCCACCTAACACACTGACATATACGTAATTCAGTGCTTCAGTGTGTGTAATTAAATGCCTAATGAACACCTCTGCCACTTTCTACCTGTGGGTCCTCAGGTGGATACACTTCCCTATGAATTATCAGGCAGTACAGGTGCAATTCCCCTCACCCGTGTGAGCTGAGAGTTGAGGAAGACGACAATGGGGAGATGCCTGTTTCAGCCCTGATCCAACCAAGCTGCTTCATAACAGGAAGCGTCAGTATCATCCTCATCCTCATCCTCATTATATTTTATATAGCGCCTCAAGGTTTATAAAGTGCTTTACACATACTGTCTCTGCTGATCCTTACAATAAATACCTGAACTCACAGAGAACAAGGAAAATGTTCTTATTCTGTGGTATGGTATAGAAACTATTATTAACCTTATTTTACAGATAAGGAAACTGAGACTGATACTAACTGACTTGCCCGGGGTCATACAGATAGTAAAACTCTCTGATCGAATTCAAACTCAGTTTTTCATGACCCCAAATCAGCATTCTATTTTCTATATACCATCTAACTGCCAAACACTCTCCATTAGGGCAGGGATATAACGGGAGTCCTCACTAGTGGGCTCCTGACTACCTAACTCTTCATCTTGACCTCCACTCTGCCTGGGTTATTGGATGGCAGTGTATTACATCTATCTATCCATCCATCCATCCATCCATCCATCATCCATCCATCATCCATCTACCTATCTATCTATCCATCCATCATTCTACCTTTTTCTTGAGGGTAATGGACTTTTGGCTGAATTGAAATTATTATATAGATACTGCCTCTTTACTATTACTGAAACTTGATAAGAGAATGATTTGGTTTTTATGGAAAGTATAGAAAATAGATAGTACAATTTAAATATATGGGGAAAAGAGTTACCAACCACGTCAGGCGTGTGCAATGATGCCTTTTGCTGGCCTGTTCTGTGTAAGTCATTTTCTCAGTTTCTCCATAAATATCATGTTCGGGTCCCATGTCAACCACATTTGGAGGACTTGTTCTTATTGTATCATCTAAAGAAAATAACGACATATTGCTAATGCTCAATTGTGATTTGGGGGAAAAAAAACAAAAAAGATCCCTCAGGTAAATACCCTATTTTTTCATTATTGCTGAAGAAAATGGCAGTCAAATTCCAAACAAATACAATTATAAAAAAAAAACCTCAAAATAAAAATGTCCAGCTCTCTTATTGGCCAATTCATTCCCTCCTGATATGAGTCCAGACCAAGACTGTAGAGGGCTCTGTGAGTAAAGGCAAGATACACAAGGGAGTTGTTGTCCAGTTATGTCTTCATGACCTCATTTGGGGTTTTCTTGGCAAAGATACTGGAGTGGTTTGCCATTTCCTTCTCCAAAGGAGAAAATTGAGGCAAACAAGGTGAAGTGACTTACCCAGGGTCACACAACTAGTAAGCGTCTGAGGTTGGATTTGAACTCAGGTCTTCCTGACTCCAGGCCTGGAGCTTTATACACTGCACCACAAGGGAGACAGAAGAATTTTTTTGACTGTCTGTGTGCTGCTCCCATATTTTCTGTGAGATTGATCAGTTAGTAAACATTTATTAAGCGCTTCTTATGTGTTAAGCATTGTGCTAACCACTGAGGTGAAATGAAGTGGTCCTGGATCCCACGTGTTTTGAATTCTTTCCTGGAAGCTCGGGATTCATTTATCTATCTGTGGAGAACCAGGCATGAGCTCTATTGCTGATGTTTTCTGAGATTTCCCAGAGGCAACTCTGAGTGGGGAACAGAATGACCTTAAGGGATGCCACGTGGTGTCACCCTCAATACTAGAGCCATTCAGCATAAAAGCAGAGGCTGGGTGAGGCCGGGTCATGACCAAATCAATAGGGCTGTTGCTGCTGGACGTGTGTGTTGACTTCATCATTCTGGTAACTTCCCAAACCAAAATACTCCTCTCTCTAGCCACCGCTCCCCAAAGCGTGTCATCCTTTCCATTAGGATGTAAGCTTCTTAGGGTCAGGGACTGTCTTCCCTTTTGTATTTGCACCCCAATACACAGAGTAAACATTTTATATAGTCTTCCATTTATTCATGGATTCCATACTCATTGCACAGTGGTTAGAGTGTGTGGCCTAGAGTCAGGAAGACCTGAGTTCAAATCTGGCCTCAGCCATTTACTAGTTATGTGACCCCGGGCAAATCACTTCACCCTGTTTGCCTCAACTTCCTCATCTGTCAAATGAGCTAGAGAAGGAAATGGCAAACCTCTCCAGTATCTTTGCCAAGAAAACCCCAAATGGGGTCACCAAGAGTCAGACACAACCCACTTTCATGTCTAGTCTAACCCTCTCATTTTACAGATGAGGAAAGTTCTCCACTTCTTCTCTGAGATCATCTTCCACCCTCTCTCTATCACTTTGTATTTACCTACTTATTTACGTGTCTCCCCCATGAGAATGTGAGCTCCTTCAAGTTTCTTTGTATTTAGAGGGCTTAGTAACGTGCCTAGCGCATAACAGGGGAAAGAGAAGGGAAGAAGCATTTACACAAAACCTACCTTGTGCCAAGCACTGTGCTAAGCACTATATAAATAATTATGAGGTGCTTTCTATTGTCCCCATTTTACATCTGAGGAAATTGAGGCAGAGATTAAGTGAGCTGCCCAGGGTCAACAGCTAGGAAGTGGCTGAGACAATATCTGAATTTAGTCGTGAGATTCCATATTCACTGCACCCCCTAGTGGCCTAGGAGGCACTTGCTCCCAAAGTCATTGTCTATAGTAGGTGTGTGGTAAAAGCTTGCTGACTTGATTTGACTTGAAATGACCTGTCCAAGGTCACAAGTCCAAGTGACTTGTCCAAGTTATTGGTAGAGCCTAGACTAGAACCCAGGTGTTCTGGCTTCCAGATCAGTTCTCCTTCACTTCTATCCTAGTCACATCACTCTTTTCTTTTTTGTACCTAATTAGTGCTGAAACCACATAGATAAGTTCATTAATACTGAAATTAGATATGCTTTTTTAGTGCCTTTATGGGATGGTATCATATAGTATAGTAAAAGTATGGAATGATTACTCTCCATTTTTCCTCCTCTCCCTGCAAGTGAAACTTCTAGAAGTTAAAAAACTACACATTCAGAAAATTATACCCTAGGAACTAAACTAGGGGTGGGGTACTTGAGGCTTTGAGGCCACATGTGACCCTCTAGGTCCTTGAGTGTGGCCCTTTGACTAAACCCAAAATGACACACTTGAGGACCTAGAGGGCCACATGTGGTCTGGAGGCCGCAGGTTCCCCACCCCTGAATTAGACGCATGTGTTATCTAAAAGGAAGAATAAGTGGATAATTTATGCTGGCAATTATCTTCCCCCTCCCTGCCAACACATAGAAAAAAATGATACCTGTTCCTTAGAAATATGATCTTGTATAGATTATTTCAGTTACCGTAATTCCTCAGGAAAAAAAAGCAAAGGTTGAATAAATATCTTCTTGTCCTCACTCCAATATACTAAAAAAATGTATACTTCATCACACAAACATTTTGGGGGATTGAAAAATGCTAGTATTGTTTAAATTTTAAGAAAATCAGCAACCAAAATGACTGCATGGAACCACAGCCAGGCCAACACTTCAAATATCCTGATATTCTACACACAAGCTCCTTCCAACTTTGTACCTCTCCAGAATGCATCCAAAAGGCAGTCATCGGGAATGAATCCGGAGGCCCGCAAAGCACTTCGGCAAGCATTCCTAACTACATCTTTTGCCACATTTCTGAAATTTGAAAGGCGATCTGTCACCTAAAATTTGATGGAAAATAAAAGATATCAGCAACATAAGAATAATAACAATAAAAACAATTTTGGATTCTGTGGGGAAAACTACTTACCTCCCCTAACTGTTTGAGCTGAGCAGCCTTAAATTCTAACAAGGTATACGTGTGTCCTTTTTCAATAAAGCAAAGAACCATAAAGCTTAGCTCATAACACATATTTTTTATCCTGAGAACAGCAGGTCGCAAGTACTAAATAAAAAGAAAATTGATATATTATAACTGAAGCAATTTTACCAATATTTCTCTCTTTAAAAACTTGTTACTTTTTTTTTTTAAAGTGGGCAATTGGGGTTAAGTGACTTGCCCAGAGTCACACAGCTAGGGAGTTTTACGTGTCTGAGGCCAGACTTTAACTCAGGTCTTCTTGACTTCAGAGCCAGTGCTCTATCCACTGTGCCACCTAGCTACCCTTGTTAGTCTTAATAATACCCGTACACACCAATACCTTTAGGCTTCATTTGGGACAGAAATTGATAAAACACCTAAGGGCTGAGGATGTGTCATGTATTGTAAGAAGCAGCATAACTTGCATTTTTACTCATAGGACATTTTCAAGATAATGAACCATCATGTTTTTAATTAAATTCAATTAATTTAATTTTGAGGGAAACCAGGTCTATGTCACCCAAACTGGAAGTGCAGCTGCTACTCAAGGGCTTGATCCTACAGCTGATTGTCATGGAAGCTTTGACCTGCTCCATTTCTGACTCCTCACTCTGAAGTCTGGGGGTTCACCATATTGGTGCAGACACATTGTTGGCTTTCGCCCAACTATAGCTCAGGACTCCAGAGATGAAGCAATCGCCAAACCCAGTAATGGGGATTATAGGCATACACCAAGATGCCTGGCTTGGATTTTATTTTAGAAGTCAGGCCATCTATTGATTACTACCTCCCTACTCTACTTTGAAGAAGGGATCACTAGGCTCCCAAAAGGATTGATGCAGCCACTTCTGAAGAATAAATTAGCTAGCTAACGTCATTCCCTAAGAAAAGTCAGTTCAGGGAAGAGGACATGATACTAACAAAATTTCTTATGACATCAACCACCCTTCTTCCCATTCTAACCTACCTTTCCATTCAGCCACCAAAGGAATTTGCCCCCATGTCACCTCCTACTCAGTAAACTCCAGCAGTTCCCCGCCACCACCAGGAGCAAATACAAATTCTGCTGTTTGGCATCCAAAACCCTTCACAACCTGCCCCTCCTCCCTTTCCAGTTTTCTCACACCTTACTCCCGCACACATATTCCTTGATTCAGTGACCCTGGCCTCCTGGCTGCTTCATGAACCAGACTCTCCATCTCTCAGCTCAGGGCATTTTCTTTGGCTTTCCCCCATGCCTGGAATGCTCTCCCTCCTCATCTTAGCCTCGTGGCTTCCCTGGATTCCTTTCAAGTCTCAGCTAAAATTCCATTTTTTACAGGAAGCCTTTCTGAACCCCTCTTAATTCTCTGTTAATTATTTTCTATTTATCCCATACGTAGTTTGCATTTTTGCTTGTTGTCTCCCTGTTAGACTGTGAGCTCCTTGAGGGCAGGGACTGTCTTTTGCTTCTTTCTGTATGTCTGGCACATAATAGGCTCTTAACAAATGTTTACTGGATAAAAGTATAGGGCCTGGACTTTTAATCTCGCTGGTAGAGGGAACTCCCTCTCTCCATCCTGATCAGCACCTTTTCTGCATCTTGTCTTAGGGATTTACAAAGAGCAAAAGAGGGTAAGTGAATTACACAGGGTATGTGCCAGGGGCAGGACATCAGTCCAGGTCTTCCTGGTACCAAGGTCAGCTCTCTGGTCTCTGCACCACGCTGCCTTTCTAGTGGGACCCACAGGAAATATTGCATAGAAAAGCAAATTTCACTATGAAATAGAAAGAGTTCTGGACAGTCTGGAGATCTGTATTCAAATACTGCCGCAGGCTGTATTTTGCCTAGGCAAGCTACTTAACCTCTCAAAAATGTTGTTGTTATTTAGTCATTTCAGTTATGTCCAACTCTTCATGATCCCATTTGGGGTTTTCTTGGCAAAGATGCTGGAGTGGTTTGTCATTTCCTTCTCCAGCTCATTTTACAGATGAAGAAACTGAGGCAAACAGGGTTAAGTGACTTGGCCAGGGTCATACAGCTAGTAAGTGTGTGAGGTCGGACTTGAACTTAGGTCTTCCTGGTGCTCTATCCACTGCAGCACCTAACTGTTCCCTCAAGAATTTTAGTGAAGAATAATACTTAGATTATGTACCTGCCTCACTAGGTTGCTGTGAGAAAAGTACCTTGCGAAATTAAAGCCAATAAAAGTATGAATTATTAACATTAATGGCAACCCCGCTTACAATGGACCCCAGCTGATCTTGGCCTCCAGAGAAATGGGAAAATAGTTCATAACTCAAAGGTTATCAGTCTCTACTTTAAGCCCCAAGGGTCACCTTCTCTTTATCCCTTTTCTCTGTCGCTGCCCTGGTTAAATTGTGAAAATTGTATTAGGAGCTCCTTTTTTCTAAATAAATTATATATAACCCATGATAAAAATCATGCATGTTTTTAATGGGTTAATCAATTAATCAGTGCACATATCTTAAGTATCTACAATGTGTCACGCGTGCAAAGTCCTGAGCATACAAATACAGTGAATGAAAGTCAATCAATAAACATTTATTATGCGCCTACTATATGCCAGGCACCCGTGCTAAACACTGATTGCTGTTTTTGTTGGTCCTTCATTCGAAGAGGACCAACACTGATACAAAGAAAGGCAAAAGACAGACCATTATCTTGAGGGGCTCACAAACTAATGGGGGAGATGAAATGCAAATAGCTATGTACAAACAAGCTACATACAGGATAAAGAGGAAACAATCCATAGTGGGAAGGCCCTAGAATTAAGAGAAGTTGCAAAAGGCTTTTTGTAGAACAGAGGTATCAAACACAGCCTACAGGCTGTGCTGTGGCCCTTAGCACACCCGAGTGGGCTAAACCATATTAAAATGTGATTGGGAAATATTTAACAAGATAAACAAAAATACAATAGAACACAGACAATGTTCATGGTTTTCTAAGTCAATATTCCCCGCCAGGGATCTTTATGTATGGTTTAATATTCTTATTTCGATTTGAGTTTGATATCTCTGCTGTAGAAGGTAGGATTTTCACTGGGACCTAAAGGAAGCCTGGGAAGTCAGGGGGAGATGAGGGGAGAGAGAGCATTCCAGGGGACGGACATAGAAGATGCCTGGAGTCAGGAGATAGAATGCTTTGATCCAGAGACCACAAGGATGTCAGTGTCACCAGATCAAGGAGTATGTGGGGGGTAGAAGTGGGGGGTGTTTAAGGTGTAAGAAGACTAGAAAGGTGGGAGAGCCAGGTTATGAAAGACTTTGAATACCATAGAGAGGATCTGCGTTTTGATCCTGGAGAGGATAGGAAGCCACTGAAGTTTACTAGTAGGAGATTGACAGGTGTTTACATTCTAAACAGTACATATATAACAGATGAAACTACCCACTCAGTGGACCAACAACCATGATCATCCCCTTACATTTTTAGCAGATGGGGAATTCTTGAGAAATAATGTGATGAATAAATACATACATTATTAACAATGAACAGATTTTCTTGCAGAGCCTTTCGGCATAGGTTAATTTTCTTGGAGCGGACATTCTTTCTCCATACGGTAAATGCCTTCCATTTGCGGAAACGTGAAAAGACGGGGATCTTGGTGAGCTCTCGGTGATACAGATATTCCTGCTCCCACCGTGCAAGCTCAATAAATTCCACTTCTCCATCACACGTGTGAGTTACCGCTCTTTTGCTAATCGTGTAGTAATCATTTTTATTGACATTTTCGTAACTTACAACTCTAGGAAGAAATGAAATTGTGGTGAATGAACAGAGTAAGACAAATTTAAATGACATTTCATCAATTACGATATTCACTTGTTAGTAGAGAATAGTTTGGAATATTGGAGAGAGGGATGACCTTGAAGCCAAGTGGACTTGAGTTCAAGTCTCATCTTTGACTCACAGGGGCTGTGTGCCCCTGGAAAAATGACTTATCCTCTCAGTGCCCCAAACAACTTTCTAAGAATATAAGTTGCAGAGAAGGTGCAGATCTGAATTGGTGGAGGGAATTAACTCACTTGGGAATCTTCTCTCCCAACAACAAAATGGCAGGTCAAATCCCTATCTCTATCTGCCAATACCATGTTCTCTTAGAAAAATAATATAATCTTAAACAAAATAAACAATATTTTCTAGGATCCACCTTCGATTTGAATAAATCAAGAACAGAATGAAAAGAAATCTCAGGGAAGGATTTAATTCATGCCCTGGAGGGCTACATTTAAACCACTCCAGAAAGATCATAAACCCTTAGAATTGGATAGGACCTTAGAGGTTGCCTAGTCAAACTCTTTATCTGATGCAAGAACCAAAGTGAAGATGGTAGATGCATAATACACAAAATCTACTCTGCTCCTCTCTTGGAAAGTCCAGACACTTGCCCATCTGGCAGCTCTTGTTTCCATGACTTCTGAAAGATTATGCTGAAAATGATTTTGTGTACCTTCAAATTCCTTTAGGTTTTCATTCATTTGGCCCTAAGTTGTCTTAGCAGAGGCAGCTTCCACACTGGTTAATGTGCTATCAGGAAGACCTGAGTTCAAATCTGGCATTAGATACCTTATAGCTTCAGTTTTCCCATCTGTAAAAATTAGGGAGTTGGATTCTATGATTTCTAAAATCTCTTCCAGCTCTAAATCGATGATTCTATGAGATCCCAATCTTTCTAGGTCTAAGCTTTCTTATCTGTGAAATGGAAATAATAATACTACCCACCTCCCAGGGTGGTTGTGAGGATCCAGTGAGATAATATTTGTAAAGTTCTTTTTAAAGCTTTCAAACACTCATGAATGTTAGCTATTATTTTTACTTTTCAAAAACATTGAGAGTCTACAACCTTAGGAATATAATTTATTACTTGAATCCCACAACTTTTAAGGCAAAACTCATAAGATTAATCTCCTCTAGTGTTGCTCTATAAAAATCTATTCTGTACCTGAAGCAAATCTTTATTTGTTCATAATTATGGGTCATAACAACAGAAGAATTTTATGATAACCACTTTTTTCAGGTCAGAAGCATTTATTAACCATATATATACATATATGTATACATGTATGAATGAATGTATGTATGCTAGGCACTGCACCAGGGATGGCAGGAAGGGCACAAAAAAATAGCTAAGATATAGTCCCTGCCCTCAAAGAGATAACATTCAAATGGGGGTGGGAAGATGCAAATAACTACATACACATTAGATATTCACAGTGTAAATGGATCAAGCCCAGACACAGCAAAGCATGAGACCATACAAGGATTAACAGGGATAGTAACCTCTTTTTGATAAAAACACTTACCCTCACCACTGCCACCCCCATAGCTCAAAATTAGATCCATATGGGAAGAGAAAGAATTGAGGTAAAATTAGTATCAAGTCTCAGACAAAATAAAGAATTTTAGTTAAATTTAATTAAATTTCACAGGATCAGCAAATGTGGGGAAAGTAATAGAGAAGGAGGAATAAAAGAGAAGGAAATAAAGGGTGTGAAACAAAGAAAAAGAAACAATGGAAATGAATCTAAAAATAGAAAGAATAAAAAAGCTAACAAAGACCCACGGCTCCAAAAGTTCAGATATTTGACTCTACCTGTACTGTAGCAGAGGTTGTAGGGTAGTGTAGAGGAATCTTTGCTGTTAAAAAGTAAGTGGCAAATACTTAATAGTTCTTTCCTAGGCTAATAGGATGACCCCAATTCTGTCTGCTGAGTTTTCTCTCTTCCCTTTCACCTCCCCAAACTTTTAAAACAAGTAGAACAACTACTTGTTGCATGTTTAGTTACCACATTTGGGTCTGGTTAGGGTCACACCATCTTGAAGACATCCTGCTCAGGGGGCTAGGATCTCTTCTCTCTACCCACTCAGGTCCCAGTTTAGTTCAGGGCCTCATCACCTTTCCTTCAACTATTGCAATGACCTTCTAATTGGTCTTCCTGCCTCAGGTCTCTCCCAATTCTAATTCATCCTCCACACAGCTGCCAAAGTGATTTTTCTTAAGCACAAATATGACCATACACACCCCTACTCAGTAAACTCAGGTGGCTCTGAGATAAAACATAAATTCTTCTGTTTGACTTTGAAATCCCTCGCTAAATAACCCTAACCCTTATTCACCCTGCCACATTCTCCAGTCAAGCTGATCTGTTCCTTATTGCTTACACATGGCACCCCATCTTCAGTCTCCATTCCTTTGCAATGGCTGTCTGCCATGCCTGTAATGAACTTCCTTCTCATTCCTGTCTCACAGAATGCCCCACTTCTTTAAAAGTGCAGCTGGAGCTCCATCTTCTCCAAGAACCTTTCCTGCTCCCTTCCACCAGCAAGCGCCTGCATTCCATACGTACTATTTAACTTCCTTATATTTATATTTACCTGAGGTAGCAACGTGGTACAGTGAGCAGAGCATTGGGGCTGAAGTCAGGAACACTCAAGTTCAAATTTAGCTTCAGACACTCAGCCCAGTGACCTTGGACAAGTCACTTGTCTGCCTCAGTTTTTTCATCTGTAAAATGTGGATAATAATAACACCTACCTCACAGGGTTATTATAAGCACAAAATGAGATAATGTTTGTAAAGAACTTTGCAAACCCTTAAAGCACTGTATAAACACTAGCTATTATCATTATGTCTCTGATAAACTGACAATTTTAAGAGTAAACATTTATCGAATAGCTTTAAGGTTTGCAAAGGGCTTTATGTATTATCTCGTTCAATCCTTCAGCAGCCCTGTCACATAAGTGCTCTCTACCCCATTTGGGGTATGAGGAAACTGAGTCTGAGAAAGAAGAAGTGACTTGTCCAAAGTTAAATTGGTAGTGTCCTGAGCAGGATTCAAATTTAGGTCTTCCTGACTCCAATCTACCTACCTTACCACATAGCTGTCTAATAATAATAGCTCACATTTAGAGAGTGCTATAGGGGCAGCTAGGTGGCGTAGTGGATAGAGCACCGTCCCTGAAGTCGGGAGGACCTGAGTTCAAATCTGGCCTCAGACCAAACACTTGACACTTAGTAGCTGTGTGACCCTGGGCAAGTCACTTAATCCTAACTGCCTAAGGGGGGAAAAAATAGTGCTATGAAGTTTCCAAAGCATTTAACATGAATTATCTCACTTCCAATTTTCAATTTGTAAGCTTCTTGAGACAACTTATTTCATTTTTTTCCCCTTTTCATCCCCAGAGCCTCGCACAGTACCTGGCACACAGTAGAGCTGTTTGATTGATTGATTGATTGATAAGGCAGCCACTGGGAAGATAAATTAGCAGAAAAGGGAAATAGAGCCTGAAACTTCCTGGGGCATGGTAGAAGAACCAGCATAAAAAACTTAGGTAAACAAACTGGGATAGTTTCTTGCTAAGAGAATCTCTTAATTCTGGGGGGTGGCAACAGGAAATGAGCTGAGAGATCCATTTGCTAGAGGAGAACATTGTGTGGAAGGTCAAGTTAAGAGGGAAAGGGATGCCAGACCCTGGGATGGCAGCATGACTACTTACGGGGGCTGGTGGCTGAATTCACTGACCCTGTTCTGTGATGGGCTAACGATGGGCAGTCCAGGTCCCAGGTCTCTGGCAGGACAATACACCCAGGAGAGGGAGCATTCTCCACTATGTTACATTCAGTTTTCTCCTGAGTCCACCTGGACGTTGAGTGTGTGTCCTCTGCCGTAAGACTCAGGATCAGAGTTCCTCTGGAATTTCTGCCCTTTTCCCTACTGAGTCAATGTCAAATGGCACTCCTTTGTCCACTCGAAAGCAGGTCGCAGTAGAGCGCTAAACAAACTCAAACTGTACATTTTTTTAATGCTTGGATCCACATTATTCCTATGTCCTCTGGGGCATGCACGAGCAGCAGGCTCTCAGACAATTGGAAGACGTTGTCATGTGATTATTCATTGCTCCCTAGTTATTACACACTGTTTATTTGCTCATTTACTCTATGCTGAATAAGTACAGTGCGTCATATCCAAGCATGCACATATGCTTCTGTAGAAATGCAGGGCCATTATGCCAAGGTCACATGACTTCTACTCTCTGAAATACAGCAAGTTCAAAAAGAGCAGTCTTTTCCAGACAATGGGGGCTCAGAGCTCGGTTTACAGAATCATGTTGCTAGAGCTGGAGATGACTTCAGAAGTCATCTAACCCAAACCTCTCACTTTATAGAGGAGGAAAGTGAGACTCAGAGAAGGTCAATGACTTGCCCAAAGTCCCCAGAGAGTGGGTGACGGAGCTGGGATTTGAACTCAGGTTGGAGGATACACAGTTCAGTGGTCTTTTCCATTGTATCACTCTTCCTCCTTAAGATCTATCCATAAACTCAAATACTCATTGACTATAACTTAGCACTGACAAGACAGAGAGGAGGCCCTTGGGGGCCCCTACAGAGGATAGTATTTACTCAGTGCGTCTGCCCATTTGGGCTTATGCAGACCACCAGGGTAAGCTTGTAAATCCCAGGACATAGACACTTGGTTGGCCTGATGGTATTGGGTAAGTAGCTATACTTAAGAGGAAGATACGATATTACGTCAAGACATGGAAGTTACTTACCCAAATTTCCTCACTGTTTGTAAACGGGGTTTGCAATCACTTTTGCCTATTTTCAATCAGTCAACAAGCATTCTCACCTTTGGGTGCCACCAACTCACCATCAGCTTTGTATATGAAGATCTGAATATAACAATTTGGCTTATCACAGTGCCTGGTATACAGCAGGTGCTTAACAAATGCTAGTTGAGTGATTAAATCAAGTCCTGAAATTCAATGCCTTCCATTTTCTCCAGCTGTTGTCAACTTCATTCTGATACCAAGGACTCTTGTTTCCTCCTAATTTGAAATTCTCAGAGTATTGTCACCTAAGCCCTAAAGAAGGAATGAAATGGAGCTATGGTAGGTATCTATGGGGTGCAGTGGATAGAGTGCTAGGTCTGAAGTCAAGAAGACACATCTTCTGAGTTCAAATCCAACCTCAGATACTTACTAGCTGTGTGACCCTGGGCAAGTCACTTCACCCTGTTTGCCTCAGTTTACTCATCTATAAAATGAGCTAGAGAAGGAAATGGCAAATCATTCTACTAACTTTGCCAAGAAAACTCCAAATGGGGTCACAAAGAGTCAGACATGACTGAAAAATGACTGAACCACAATTTACAGAACAAATGTTATGAGTCCAAATTCTCCTTTTATTGCCCAGACTTGTATGTTGTGAATTTCCTATAATATTGGGTGTGTAAACTGTATCAATGATTTTATTAATGAAGGGAAATTCCCAGGCAAGAAAAGTCCATCTACCAATACAGGTCAGCTTCTCCTCTGCAACTTATCATCTTAAATTAGATCTTAAATTAGAAACTGGATTGTATCATGAACCTGTTTGGCAGCTGAGTCAGACCCACAATTCCTTCCTTTGAATAATGATTCTAAATACATAAAACAGAATACATAGGATTATAAAATAAATCAATTATATTGAAATAATTATTGGAATTTTTTTTAGATTCATCAACTCCAAACTAAGAACTTGTCTTCTTAAGTGGCTTGAACACGGTCCCACAGTATACATCAAAGGTGACATTTGAACCCAGCTCTTTGCAGCTTTAAGGGTGGCTCTCTCTCCACCATGCTACACCATCTGTCATAAAGGATTAGTCACAAAGAAATGAGTCCTAAAGCTCACTTTTCGTCCTTGTTTTACACCTAAGTTACACAACAGAAGCTGAAATGCCATGTGAAAATAAATCACATTATCCTTTATACTTTGTACATATTATTTCTCTTTCCATATTGCAGAGACAGTGTGGTATAGTGGTAAGACAACCAGTCTCAAAGCCAAGAAGACCTGGATTTGTGTCTTGCCTGTGACACATACTGGCTCTATGACCTTAAGAAAGTCATTCGATTTCTCAGTGTTCTTGGCAATTCTCTATGATCATAAATTGTAGAGAAATTGTTGTCCTGCATTGGTAGAGGAAGATCCCTCCCCTAAGAGTTCCCTGTACCAATGAAATTACAAATTCAATCCCTAATTCTATCTGTCAACAAGCATAGATTCTGAAAAAAAAAACAAACAAAAAAATGCTATTCATAGCATAGAATTAACTATATTTATCATAACCAAGTATATTAAAAATACTATTTAGAAAACCAATAGTGAATTATTTGTCATTTTTCACTGAATAGTTAATAGAAAAATAACCTAAGGAAAAGTAAATAATGTGCTAGTAGAATGCATGCATTACTGGGTGATCACCAAAAATTAGCATAGATTTGAGATAGTCATCATGAAGTCTTAAAATAAATCACTGCCAACTGGCAACTGGACATCATCTGTGAGATTTATTTTCTGGGCTAATAACTCACCTCAAATTATAGGGATCATATTCAATGGATGAAGTTGATACTGCTGGGATCATATACAGGAACCCAAGGTGTTTATTCTCACATATTATTTTGATAATTTGCAAAGGGTCTTTAATGTTCGCTTTAATGACGTCTTCTCGGTCTTGGAAAATTAACGAAGGGTAAGTCGCAGAAATTTGTTTTTGGAATATCGTTCTCCCGCTAGTGATCCGCTGTTGTTTAGGAGGAGAAGGAGAGATTCCATCGACAGGCAAAAGTCTTACCTAAGCCAAGGCATATTTAGAATGTCAGCTTTTATGTAATGCAAGACCATAATTTTTTTAATCACAGGAATATCTGGAAACAATAAGTATTCCTCTCTTGTTCTTTGGCTTTTTTTTTTTAATCAATGTCCTTCCTAAGATATGGTGCCCAGAACTATGCACCTAGTACTTCAGGACAAAATATAGTGAACTTTTGCCAGACCCCAATCCACACATCCTCTCTCTCACAATACAGCCTAAGGTGGCACCAGCTTTTTTGTTTGTTTGGTTTGGTTCCTATGTCACACTGTTGACCCATATTGAGCTCCCATTAAACCCCCTAAATCTTTTTGACTAAGATTGTTGCCTAACCAAGTATTCCTACTATTGCACTTGTACAATTGATTTTTTAACCCATCTACACAAGTTTACATTGATCTCTGCTAAATTTCTTCTTGGATTTGCCTCATTCTTAGATTGGTAGGATCATAGATCTAGGTATTGGTGGAGGTGATCAATGAGTGAGCCCCCTGCCTCTTCCTCCTTTCATCATTTCAGGAGGGACAAAGTGAGTCACAAAGAATAAGCAGGTTTCAATGGACTGTGGTCTACATGGTAAATATTATACTATCTTCTCCCCCTATCCCCAAATACACCCATCTTCCAAAATTCCCTATTATGTCAAGGGTACCCTTCAATTTATGGGTGGAGGAAACAGAAGCTCTGATAAGAAATGACTTTCTTGGTCATGCAAATACCAAGAGGGAGAGCCAGAATTTGAACACAGTTTCTCTGATGCCAGAATCAGCATGTTTTCCACTATAATCCACTGCCTACCTTGCTTGTCAAGATCTTTTCAGATCCCAGACTTGTCACTGTGTTCCAACTTCATGTTATTCAGAACCTGAATATTCAATAAACAACACCATCTGTGCCTTCATTCAAGTCATCTACAGAAATGCTGAACAGATCATAGCCTTTATCAGAGCCCTTTGGCACTTAACTAGAGACTTCCTTTCAGGCTCTCTTCTTGAACTTCAACCTCTGTTACAACCTCCTTCATGAAGGTGCCTTAAGTCATATTATTTTGATGGTAATGATAATGGTAATTTATGTCAAATTAGCATTATCATTACCATCAAAATAATATGACATAAATACTTTCAATACCAAACAGAAAAAATGATATTTCAAAAGTCTAGACATGAAAGATTAGAAACATATACACTAATGAATACTTTAAAAGAGCCTAAATAAATTATATAGAAGACTGAATATCTTTTTTCCTTTTCAATTGTATTTTTCTTTAAGCAATTATAGCTGAAGATATTCCTTTTCTGGACAAATTACCTTTTACAGAAATATTTCTATTTTTCTGAGTAAAAACCTACTTATATCTCCAAATGAGGCTACAATTAATTAAATGTTACTAGAGTACCTGCTTTTTTTTCACTTCTGATGAAATCCCTGGGGCAAATAATTCCCTGGACGGTATTCTCTCCAAAAGTTTTGGTGCAAGTTGGAGCAATCCAGAACTTAATAATTTTGCTCGGTTCTGTGCATATATGTATTCTGGCTGCATGTGATCCTGGTAGACTTTCAGCACAGGCTTCAAAGAAAAAAAGTTTTGCATTTATCATCTGCTGCATAGGTCTGTTCCTTTTTGCCCTATTTTCTGAAGACCCATGTCTGTTTTCAAGGTCCTGAGCTCTTTTGGAAAGACCATAGCTCTCCTGGCCTGTTTTCTTGCCACCACATGGTACTGCAGGCATCCTGTCCTCAATTCATTATTTTACATCCTGTTATTCCTACACTCGATTTCATTTGTGCTTGGGATGACCTACACTAGCAAAAATGCATCATAGCGTTAGTTCCTATTTCTACAATGTTTTGCATTTTTGCAAAGTGCCATTCTCCAAACCCCAAGGTAGGTCGTGTAAATATTATCATCCCCTGTTTACAGAGACACAGAGACTCAGAAAGGTTAAGTGATAGTCTATCCATAGTCACATATCTGGTAAGTATCAGAAACAGGACTTTAATTCAGAGTTTACTGGCTGTGAGTCAAGAGCTCTTTGCACTGTCCCCTTCCACCTCTATAACACCAGCTGCTGCTAAATGAAGAGACATGCCATAGTAGAATAAACAACATGCACTCATTTACCCACACTACTCCCATTTCCACTTATTCCAATCCTACCAGAAGTGCACAAGATTTGGAGCTGGAAAGGACTTTCCAACCTCATTTGACAGATGAAAAAACCAAGTCTCAGAGAGGTAGAATGACTTGCCCAGGGTGACACATAGTAAATATATTGAAAAATAATACTCATCTTTTAAAAACCAATTTGTCTAATTCCAAGTCTTATACTATTTTTCTATAGGAAGAGTTCTTAACATGGGATGGGATATATAAAAGTACAAGGTAACTTTGGGAGAGGAGGCATCAGAAGCTTGGAGTCAGGAAAGACTTCACGGAGGAGACAGTGCTTCAGCTGAGGAAGCAAACAAGGGATTCTAAGAAGGAAACGTGAGGCAGCAGCATATTCCAGGCGTTCATTCAGTATGATAGAAGCATTTATACAGCACTTGAAGGTTTTACTAAGCACTCTACACGTGTTATCTTCATGCCTCCCCAGGCTGCCCAGGTGACTTACCTCAGCAGGATGCTGCCTACCAGGCCATAGAAACCTCTTCACTATGGAAGCTCCCCCCACCCCCTGGACTCTTCTCATATTGGAAGCACTCTCCACTCCTGAGGCCTCACTTTCTGATTTGCTTGGATCCTTCCAGAACCTCCATTTTTAAGCAGGACACCACAACAACCATAATGCACAGCTAACTCTCCATAGGACTTCCCCTTTCCCCAACTTTTCAGATCTCTTTTATGTGTTCTCTTTCTCCATTACAATGTAAGCTTCTGGAAGGCAGGGATCGTCTTTCTGCTTGCATATGTATTTCCAGAATTTAGCACAGTGCCTGGCACATGGTAGGTGTTTAATAAATATTTATTGATTTGTTGATTGCATAACACTATGCTATTGTAATGAAGAGGGGAGAGGGAATTCTAAGAGGATAGCCTAATAGTAAGACTTAGCCAAGCAAAACACCTAAAGGGTTTCTTTCCTTCCTTCCTTCTATCTTTCCTTCCTTCTATCCTTCCTTCCTTCCTTCCTTCTTTCTTTCCAAACCTATACACCTTGCTAGACATTAGGGAAAGATTACAAAATAAATAAGGAACAATTCCTGCCTTCACAGCCTTTGCAATCCAGTAAAAGTTCTGACCAGATCATTCGCTTGCTGAAAAATCTTCAGTGATCTTATCGCCTGGCATAGTGGGCCCTAAGCTTTTATAGGGTTTAAACCTCTTTTGACAGCAAATGATTTCACAGACCCCCACGTAATGGTTGCATTATGAATATCTATTGATGGAGAAAATACAGTAATGTCTAAAGAGCTAGAATTCAGTAATGCTCTAAGTGAACTTGTATTTTATTAATCACAACAGCCTCTTCATCCATTTGAAAAAGTATAATACATATATGTGTAAGATGCTGTTTAGTCAGTCCATAGAAGGTAGATTTTCATTCTGGCATCCCTAGCACCTTGCATTGTGATTTTCACAGCAGAGACATTTAGCAGAATGCTGGTGGAATTGAACTGTATGTGACCCAGAAAAATGTAAATGCAATTTGGGAACTGTGCTATTTTGGTTATGGCATTTATTATTTATGACATAGGGCAGTTGGGGCCATCAGGAAAGGCTTCATGTGGCAGCTGTGTTTGCTTGGAGCCTTGAACAAAGCTGGGGATTCTAGGAGGTGAAGGTCAATTCTAGAATCACAGACCTCAGCTGGAAGGGACCCTGGAGGTCAGCTAGTCCAAACCAGGAAACTGAGGGCCGAAGAAGTAAAACTTAACCAAGGTCACGCAGGGAAGAAGTAGCAAAGTCGGGACCCCAACTCTGTCCTTAGATCCCATCTTCAGCATTCTTTCTACTATGTTAGGGAGAGCGGAAATAGGGACTTGTTTGGTGATTTCATTGGCTCAGACTTAGAATTCTCAACCAGGAGCTCCCTCTACCAATTCAGGTCAATATCTGAGGTAGCTTCTAGTCTCAGAGAGTGGCCTAGAGCACTAAGGAGTTAAGTGGTTTGCAATATATATCAAAGGTAGGATTCAAACCCAAGTTTTCTCGGCTCCAAAGCTAGTTCTCTGTTATACCAGTGGTATCAAACTCAAATAGAAACAGATTTCTGTAGACTACATGTTGATTTAGAAAACCACAAAATTAACATAAATAGAACAATATTTGTTCAGTAATTTCAGACTCTTGGTGACCCCATTTGGGGTTTTCTTGGAGTGGTTTGCCTTTCCTTCTCCAGCTCATTTTACAGATGAGGAAACTGAGGTAAACAGGGCTAAGTGACTTGGCCAGGGTCACACAGCTTGTAAGTGTCTGGGGTTGGATTTCAGTTCAGGAAGATATTTTTCTGACTTCAGGCCTGGCACTCTATCCACTGTGCCACCTAGCTGCCTCCCAATAAACATCTTTAAAGCATCTACCATGTGCCAGGCATTGTGCTAAGCCCTGGACATTATCTGTGTTCTATTTGTATTTTTATTGATTTTGTTAAACATTGCTCAATTATATTTTAATCTGATTCGGGAGTTTAATATGATCCTGGAATTTAATCTGCATGGGCAGTGAGTCTGACACCTTTGCACTATACCACAGCTGTGCGACCCTGGGCAAGTCAGTCACTTAACCTCTGCCTCAGTTTCCTCAATTGCAAAATAGGGATAATAATAGCACCTACCTCAGAGTTGTAGTGTGAATCAAAAGAGATTAATCTCCGTAAAACACAGCACAGTGCCTGATTTATCATAGGTACTTAATAAATGTTTGTTCCCTCCCCCTTGTCCCCCAGAAAGAGAATCATCATGTAGATATTTTTCTACATTACCACTGAAGTCTCCCAAACCCTGGTGCAGGGAAATGAGCTCAGATGTGGGATGTGAGATCTTCTGAGGAGTTTTAAAAGGCTAAATCTATACCAGGTGACCCACTGAAAAGAAAATCAGGATGAAAATCCAATTGCCAGATGAGGGAGAAATTATATACACAAGCAGTGTTCTTAAGATCTAGGATTCTGATTTTAAGTATTTGCAAAAGATGAGTCCAGCTTCTCTCCCGCAAAGAAGCCAGAAATCCAAGTTTATCTATAGGAAGAGTGAGCGGAAGAAAGCACTGGGGACCAAGGCCAATTCGCTAACCACTGCCACAGGATGTGATTAATGCATAAGAGAAGTGTAAAAGTACAATAAGATCACATGAAGGAGAAATTGCTTCCAGAAAACGGAATCAGGGAAGACTCCATGAAGGAATTTACACTCGAATTGGGTCTTGAAGTATAGACAACTGTGTCAACCAGGGGAAATGGTGTAGGATACATGAGCAAAGGCACCATGGGAGGAAAAATCTGGGACATACTCAGGAAATGATGAGTAGTCAAGTTTGCCTAGAATAGTGCTGGGAGTTATAAACTAGGTTATATTTTAAGAGGTCCACCTCAAAGGGTGACAGTATCTGAGTTCAAATTCGGTCTCAGACATTTATTAGTTGTGTGACCTTGGGCAAGTCACTTAATCCTGTGTGCCTCAGTTTCCTCATCTGTAAAATGAGCTGGAGAAGGAAATGGCAAACTACTCTGGTATCTTTGCCAAGAAAACCCTAAATGGGGTCACCAAGAGTTGGACACGACTGAAACAAGAAATAAAGCATATAACTGCCCAGGGCACAGCATGGAAGGGGACACTATAAGGGGGCATCTTTATTACTATTATTATTATTATTATTATAAAAGTACGTGTTGCCAAGACCAGGAAATTCTGTTCCCTATGACACTTTGGTATTTGTTTATTTTTTGGTATGGTGAGTTTCACTTGTTACGTTCAAACTTGTGGCGGTCAGCAACAGCTCAGATGACAACAGAAATATGTAAGTATAGGGTGGTAATTTTCAAATACTACCCAAGGAGGGGGAATGTCTCATCCAGGCTCTTTCATGACGGTAGCTGGAATTCCATAATGTTATGTTGCCATTGAGGCAGATGATACTTTCACTGCTAGTTTGCACTCAGCTTAAATTGTTGAAGCTCATAAGTTACTTTCTGGAAGTATGTTAAGCACGTGAATTAAATTTCCAGGACACTGAGGTACCATAAAGGCAAGAGAACGCTGTGAAAAGTGCATTGGTCTTAGAGTCAGAAGACCTAACTGTAGATCTCAGCTCTGACAGTTAATACCTGTGTGGCTTTGGGAAAACTATGTAGCTGCTCTGTGTCTCAGTTTCCCCATCTGTAAAACAGCAATAATAATGATAACATTTATATAACACATATAATATTTATTGTATGTAATATATTTAATCATGTATATTATTTAGTTGAAATTTACAAAGCTCTTAAAGATGTTATCTCATTTGATCTTAAGAATGACTTTGTGAAATAGATGGTATTATTAAGTCCCGTTTTACATATGAAGAAACTGAGGCAGACAGCAGTTAAGTGACTCGCCCAGGGTCATACAGCTAGTAAGTGTCTGAGGCCAAATTCTCCTTATTTCCAGCTCCAATATTCTATCTACTTCCCCCGCCTAACTGAAATCGATAACAATCTTATCTGTCTTGTAGAGGCATCTTGGGAGTAGTGGTTAGAGGGCCAGCCTCAGAGCCAGGAAGACTTGGCTTGCAAATCCTACCTCTGATACATAGTAGCTATGTGACCTCGGGCAAGTCACTGGCTCAGCATCACACATCCTAGAACACTGTTTGAGATTCAAAGGTGCTATCTGCATGGATAGAAGGAGTGTTCAGTGCTTAACACAATGCCTGGAACACAGTAGGTAATTAATAAATAATTAATACATGAATAAATGCTATTGATTGACTGCCATGAAAGTTAGCCATATGACCAAAATTACAGTTCCAGTCCCTAACTTCTTTCTCATGGAGTTGTTATGAGGAAGGAGCTTTGTAAACCTTAAAATGCAATATAAATGTGTATCATTATCATTTTTATTTAGAGTATTTTAAAAGTTAGTGCATTTTTAAGCTTTAATATATAAACATATTAATTTTACATCAATGTTTTAATATCCACCAATTTATTAATAAGAAAATTATGCATATAATTGTGTGTTTGTATAATGTGAAATATTAATATTTATATTATATTAGTATTTGCATAATATTAATATATTACAATATAGTGTGGCATGTGACACTATACGATATTTTAATATGTAATGTTTTATAATTCGCTGTTCTTATTGCATATGAAAGCACTCTAAAAAAATTGCAAGGGGTTGTATAGATTGAAGGTTGTGGTCGTGGGATCTAGGTGTAGAGCTGAAAGCTACTTCTAAGGCTGCCGGTAGTCTCATGAATTGGCACAGACCAAGAACTCATCCAGGAGGGGCCAGCCTCCTGGTGAGGAGCTTCTCGTGACTTAGCCAGGCGGAGCCTTGGAAAGCAAACAGACCGTTGCTGGGATTGTGCTGAAAGCCTTTTTCAGTGTCGTGTGCCAGTAGCTTAGCCTTTGAGAAACCTGGGTCACCTGCCTCTAACCCCCACCAGATGAAACATCAGATTAGTACTCACGGAACTCATTGTTCAATCATTTTTTCGGCAGTGTCCGACTCTTTGTGACCTTGGTTTTCTTGGCAAAGATACTAGAGTGGTTTGTCATTTCCTCCTCCAGCTCATTTTACAGATGAGGAAACTGAGGCACACAGGGTTAAATGACTCGCCCAGAGGTTATACAGCTAGTGTCTGAGGCCAGATTTGAACTCAGGAAGCTAGGCAGTGCAGTGGATAGAATTCTGGGCCTGAAGTCAAGAAGTCTCATCTTCCTGAGTTCAAATGTGGCCCCAGACACTTAGTAACTGTGCCATCCTGGGCAAGTCACTTAGCCCTATTTACCTCTGTTTCCTCATCTGTAATATGAGCTGGAGAAGGAAATGACGAACCACTCTAGTATCTTTGCCAAGAAGGGGTCACAAAGAGTTGGCCAAGACTGAAATGACTGAACAATAGTAACAATGAGATGAGTCTTCCAGACTTCAGGCCTGGTGCTCTATCCACTGTGCCATCCAGTTGCCCCAAAGGACCTATTACTGCTCATTAATACTTGGAAGGAGGGGGCCAGCAAACCAAATGGTGCTTCAATGTCTGAAAGAATCTTACTTCCCTCTCTGTTTCATACCTGAGTTAGACATTCCTCAATGAGCTTTTATCACTCATATATCCACTAGAGGCTTCTTGCCTACTGGAAAAGATGTCCTGATTTTCCCCTTGGACTCTCTCCCTCCCTGCTCTGAGGAAGCTGGATCCTGAAATGACGCTAATGCTTCAAATTGGAGTCCGCTGCTGGGGTCTGTCGGTCTTCACCTATGGGTTCAGAGGCTCTGAGACTCCAGGAAAACTACAAGGAAGGAAACTGACACGTAACAAAACATACCAGAGGTTCCAGCTTTATCGGCTGCTGGCGTTTTCGAGTCCGGTCTTGGGCTTTTGTATTGTGTACAAAGGACAGGACTTTAGACTGTACAGACGGCTCTTTGGGACCCACGAAGTTCAGCCTTTTCTGGAGGCTGAAACTCCCAATGCTGGAAGTCCCTGAAGACTCTCCTGACTCTTGCAAATCACTGGAGTCTTCCGCTTTTTCATTAGGTTGGGGTCGCAACAAATCGGAGGGGAGGATGTTTCTGGACATGGTGATCTGGGAGAGGAGAGAAGACATGGTCAAGCAAAGCCAAGAGGAACTTTCCCTTGGTGCTTCCCAAACCCTCGCTCACAAAAAGTCCGGAGCATAGACTGACTCCCAGATATGGAAACAATTCCCTGGCTCTCATGCCAGGCTGTTAGAGTGGGAAGAGATCCCAAAGAATGGAGTGAGTCCAGGATTTGGAGTCAGGAAACCTGGACTCCAGCCGTGGCTGTGTGGCCTTGCTTTTCCTCTCTGGGCCTCAGGCTTCCTCATTTGTAAAAGGGAGGAGGGGAGGTGTTTGGAACAGGGTGATCACTGAGGTTCCTTCACGCGCTCACTATTCCCAGTTCTGATTCTTGAATAACCACCTCAATATTAAGGATTCAGCTCAATTCACTTCAAGTCAATTCAACAACTCAGCTAGTATTTATCAAGTATCTACTAAGAGTAAGGCACTCTGCTAAGCACGGGGACACAAAGACAAACGGAAAAGCAGTGATTGGCCTGGAGAAGCTTACATCTTCCTGGGGAGAGTGGAATAATAATTAGAATTTTTATAATTATTGTGATTAGCATTCACATAGAGATTTATGGTTCAAAGCACTTTATAGATATTATCTAAAAACCTCAGAATAACCCTGGAAGGTAGGTGCTATTACTATCCCTATTTTACAGTTGAGGAAACTGAGGCAGACAAAGATTAAGTGACTTGCCCTGGGTCATAGAGCTAGGAAGTGTCTGAGACTGGACTTCTGATTCTAAGTCCAGAGCTCCACCTGCGGCATTCCCCAACCACCACCCTCATGTAGATGCAAGGGACTTGGAGAGCATACGAACTCCATTATGGCCTGGTGGATAAAATCAGGACTTGAAGTCTAGAAGACTTCTGTTCAAGACCTCTGACACTTACTAACCAAATAACCTCTTTGGGTCTCAGTTTTCCCACTGGTAAAATGGGGATGTTAACTATCTACCTCTTAACAGAGTTGTTACATGAGATCTATATAAATGTCACATTATTTCTAGGATATAACATCCAGACCTCAGGAAAGGCTTCAAGTGAGAGCTGATGCTTGAAATGAGCCTTGAATGAAGATTCTAAGAAAAGAAAGTAAAAGGACCACAGAGTAGAACAGATCTTAGAGGCTGACTAGTCCATGCCCCCTCATTTTACAGATGGGGAAACTGAGGCTTGGAGAGGTGAAGGAACTTGCCCACGGTCTCAAAGCTAGCAAACGTCAGGGACAGGATTTGAACCCGGGTCCTTCGTATTTTACATCCAGCCCACTACACAAAGTGTGTTTCCAGGCCTACGGGAAAGCACGCCGGCAGGAGATGGACTTTTGAGTAGGGGAAAAGCAAACAGGCCAGGCTGGTTGAGTCTTAGGGTCCAGAGAGGGTCACACAGCAAGGAGCCCACACCTCAGTCTCCCTCCCGCTCTTGCCTCGACCCCTGGCTGCGCTTCATCCGCGCCTTCGCCGCCCCTGCACCGCTTACCGAGCCTCCAGGGGCGCGGGACGCTCTCTGCTCTGGAAAACGTGAGCCCCGGCCGGCCGAGGGACTCGGGATCCGCCTGGGAAAGGGAAGAAACTAACTGCGCGCTGACCGCAGTGTTTCCCGTTGCCTAGCTACGAGGAGCGCCGGGCCAGCTCCGCGCGGGCTCGCGTCCTGTCAATCAGGAGGGGGCGGATCGCCAGAGCTGGGAGAACGCGAAGGGGTTCTGGTTCAGGGGATGGAGCGCTGTGATCTTGAGGCCAGCCTTCTTCATTTGGTGGTGTAACCTCGGGCTAGTCACTAGCCTTTAGTGGAAGTCAGTTTTCCAATCTATCAAGTGGGGGGTTCAGCATCAGGTCTGCAAAGACGGGAGCAAAGGAAAACGACAGTTGTTGGTGGGACTGTGGGAAGCCAGGCACATTAGTGTCCTGTTGGTACAGCTCTGATTGGTCCAACCATTCTGGAAAGCAACTTAGAACTACACGGTTCAAATCACTC